GTTTTGAGAACCCAAACCCCAAACGAGGCGCTTCTACTTTTCACCCATTAAAACTGGTGGCTGATAGGTCCTTGACAACTAATGGTAGAAAAATCAGAATATCTTGCTGCTGTTGTTGATGGTTTTTTCAGCTTTTGGGTTCGGGCTAAATACACCCATTGGATAGTAGAGAAGTGGAAAGATGGTGGCTACTCACAAACTGCTTAACTCTTTACATTTTCTGTAATGCCTCCCAGCAAGAAAACAAAAAGGGAAAGAAAGCAAAATCTTTTTATGATTTTTGTAATTTGTACTTTTTATCTTTTTCTTTGTAACACATAAAAACACAAAGCCCTTTCGGGCAAACAGAAAAAGAAAACTAAAGCCCTTGGTGGGCAAGTGGAAATAAAAACAAATAAAAACAAAGATTTGCCAAGCTACTAAAACAATAAAACATAAAGAACATAAAAGACAAAGCCCTTTCGGGCAAACAACCGAAACAGTGAAAAGAAAGGGCAAACTGCCCAGTTTTTTTTTTTTTTTTTTCTTTGAAAGTCCAATATAATATATAATATATATAGTACATAAAATAGATATATATATATATATATTATGCCCTCCAAGGCAACATAACAAAAATGAAAGAAAGCCCATGTCGGGCAACACACATGCCTACTCGGGCAAAGTGAAAAAGCTACCATTTTTATACTTTTCTTTTCTTTTCCTTTCATATAGTATAATATAATATATATATATACATATATAATATATGTAGAAAGCCCATTCGGACAAGTATAACATATATATATAATATTAGCCCTTTCGGGCAAAGTAACTATATATATATAATATAAAATATAACACTATATATATATATAATAAAACTTTGGCAGACAAAAACTGAGGGAGAGACAGGAAGAAAGAGAAAAGAGAAAGAGAAAGAAAGAAGAAAGAGAAGGAAAAGAAAAAGAAAAGGAAAAAGAAAGAGAAAGAGAAAAGGAGAAAGGAAGGAAAGCTTACTTCGGGCAAAGAAGAACAACAAAAATGAGCCTTATTCGAGCATATTGGTTAAACCCTTTGATTGCCCATATATCTCTTAACACTCAAATCTTTTCTTCTTTTTAAAATTGAGTGTAGAGAGATCAAATCCTCCATTTAAATTGGCCATGCCATATAGCTTGGGAACCATAGGAGGTGGCCATTCATGTTTGATCCCAAGCTTTGCCCTCCTTGAGATCTTGATATAGACGACATGCTCGTGTTGGCGGGGAAGAGTGTATGGGCTATTTTCTTCTTCTTCGGGCTCCACATGAGGTGTGGGCTCGTGCCCCCCGAGCGTTGGTGTTTGGCCTATACTAGCCATCATCTCCATCTTAGCTTGGTCTCCTACAACCATATCCATTTTCATGGATTTTTCATTGGGTGGGGCCATTGTTTGGCCTTCATCAATGTGTATGATTTGTTCTTCCTTGGTTGTAGTAGGGTGAGTGTGCTTTGTAGAGGGGATTTGACACATTTGATCTATCAACTTTCTCATGGCTTCTCCAAAAGTTGTATAGTTTTCCTCCATCCTTTCAAAACACTTAGTCACCTCTTCACCATATTCGATGCTTGCCACATGGAGTTTGGACACCTTCTCTACTTTGCCCTCATCCTTATTGTAGAGCTTTTCATCAGGATGATCATGAGTTGGCATCTCATATATTGGCTCTATATGATTTTCACCATAGCCATGGCTCGGGCATTCTTCAACACCATCGTCTTCTTCCCACTCCGGAATGTAGGGCTTGAAAGCATGTCGAGAAAAATCATAAACATAAGGATTGTTCATGATCTAACTCCATATAGAGTCCCACCGAGCGTGCCAAAATATGTTCGCTCCCTAAATCCGCCATGGTGCCTTGCGGGCAAGCCGGGGATTTACTTCACATACGAGATTGGTGGGTGCGGGCGTGCCACTACTAGATACCGCTAGTAGACGGGATTTGAATGATTGAGGTTGCGCCTTTTGACTTCAAATCAAGAGATTGTGCAATTTGAGTGGGAGTTGCTCAAATCAAGGTTCTTTCTTTGCCTTAAAAATAAGGACTTTACTTATATGGAGAGATAGAACAATATGTAAATGACAAGGTTGTTTGGAAATGTAAATGACAAGGGAAAATGACTAATATTGCAGATTGCTTGTAAATTAAATGACTAAAGATGAGTTGTACATGAAAACTACAAAGGAAATCGATACTGCAAGTGAGCAGCAGAGCTAATAAACTAGACAAAAGATGGCTTTTGTGAGGGTTGATCCCGAAAGGGATGAAGGCTTGGGCTGACTACAGCTTCGTTGAAGGCAAATCTGGCTTGAGCAGAGTTTGTGCTTTTGTTTATTTGATTGAGTGTCCATAATCCTTGTGCTTCTGCTCCTTTTTATAGAGGTCTGGAGGAAACCCTCCTGCTGAGGTTTTGTACTTGCCCGAAAGAAGCTTGGGCAGCTTGTATTGTGAAATGTTTAGAATAAGCAAGTTTGAATCTCCACCACATATCTCCACCACTTGTAATAAATTAATAATAAAAAGAAGCAAGCTGTCTTCTTCACATGCCTTCTGCAAGAATGTCTGAATGCTTTTCCAATCTACTTGAAGGCATACACATCTCCACCACCCAAACGAATTGGAGAAACAATATTATAATGTCCAACCCTTCCACTTGCATCTAAATATCCTTCCAAGTTAGCTTTCTTGCATATTAATCCTCCAAATGCCATATTTTACCCAAATTGCCTAAATAAGTAAAAATGGGTATATTTTGAGTGCAAACAATATGTTCGTTACTTAGTACTATGGTCTAATGATATTCCTCTTCACTTGTAAGTGAGAGGTCTTAGGTTCGATTCTCGCCAAAGATGAATTTGAACAACATTACTGTTAGCTCATTATGAGGCTTAAGCTTACTCCATCTCTCTTAGTGTAAATAATATTATTTGTTCAAAAAAAAAAAAAAATTTGTCGTCACCCAATTGTCACTTACACACAAGCCCATGTTCTTTAGAAAGGGAAAATCAAAGAATATACGTCATTTTTATGAATACGGGCATGTGAACTCGCAATTGAGCTCGGTTGGGTGAGTAGAATGGAGGTGGTGGTGTTGAATGCGCTGCTAACTTATGTGCCAAAGCAACTACGGCCGAGAAAGAAAGAAGTTTCATCCTTGGGTTTTAGAACCTGAAGACAATGTTACTAGATCACTGCAAAGTTCAACAATTAGTTCAACTTTCGTTGTGCCTACGAATGAGTAAACTGGGAACATTTTAACTGCCTACCAACTGCTTCAACATATACTACGGACCGCTGTAAGTTGACGACTCTAATTACCAAAATTCAAATTAACAAAGATATTCTACAAAACAAATCTATCGTTAGTAAAATAGATAATATTATCATTTTTTTTCTTATGAGATTAGCTAATGGCTTTTCCACGGCAGTCCACCCTTTCAGGGATCGGAAAGACTCACAGAGACCTTTCAGCCTCTCCTGGCCACCATCATATAATTCACCAGCGCTAGAAATCGAACCAAAAAGTGTCGTGTGAAATACATACTTGAAATTCATCTCCAACCATTGAATCATCCCGTGGTGGTTAATATAGATAATATTATCACTAGAGTTGCTATTTGTTTTATTTAGCAAAAAATAATGTATAATAGTTAAAGAGTTGCGCTGCAATTGTCACTGATACTGGTGGCCCAAAGAGTAAACCACACTACTTTGATATTGTGGTGACTAAAAAAGTAATCAATGCAAACTATTCTTTAATTGGTGACAAAGAAATACTAACCTTTGCTTACATTACTTGTAGTGCAACTAAATGTTAATTTATTAGAACACTCTAACTTTGTGTTGTGTCTCTCAATTCATGTTTTGATTAATTATTACTTCTCAACGAAAACAAATTAAATAAAACTATTCATCATTTTTTTTTTAAACAAGTGATATTTCTCTTTTATTGTTTTTAATAAATGCATTTATGGTTGTGTTTCTTTTGATAAGTATTGACTTCAAACCGATCGCGTGTAATTTTTTTTTTTAACAAATGATATTATCTACACAAAGGGGGAATTTGCTTTTAGTGAAAATCAAATATAAGATCTCTTACTTACAAGTAGAAATAAGTACTATTAGCTCGTAATACTAAATGGCATAAACCACGTGTAGTTAATAATGAACAATCCATTTATGTTTAAATGGATAGAAAATTTAAAAAATGTTGGCTTACGTTTTAAACTTTACCCTTAAGATCTATTTTCTCCCCAACCCTCTATCATTTTACGGAAGTTAGCCCTTAATTTACAAGATAATTAAAGAAGTACAAAACTTATGTCCATTCAATTGTGACAAATGTTTCTTTATTATACAAATATTATAATTAGGACCGTACATTTCCTTTATTATTATCCAAATTAAGACCAAGGAACAATTATAGCGCAGACAAAAGTATCATTCAACAAAGAAATATCGTACACAAATTAATTAGCCTCATTTTTTGAATTCAAAATATCTTAATTACACAAGGTGATTTGTTACCCGTCCGTTCAAGGTGGGGCGTAAAATATCAATTGTATCACATAACTCATGGCATGCACAACTTTTATTTACTAATCATGGGAGAAAATACATATATAAAGATCAATTCATGGTGGCATTAGTATTAGATACCACAGTAGGCCTTGACACGACCGGTCAAATCCAGGTTGGAGAAAGCAAAAGCAATATAGCCAAGACCATCGCATGGTTTGTAGCACAATGGGTTCTTCTCATCAGTTACTTCTTCTGGTACTTGTATCTTTCCCCTGTTGAATATGAAAATTCCCACCGAGCACCTTTCCACATTCACGTCCCAAATCCTGACGCGATGGTTGCAAGCTTTTATTCTGTTATTACTCCAAATCTGATTATTAACAAATTAATCAATCATTTGTAATTAATTAATGAATAATATACGCTATAAGTTTTAATACTCATGATTTAGGATGTTGAAGTGTGAAGGCGGGGCATGGTTTAGGAGCGTATATATATGAGTCTGCTCTGTCTATTAAAGGTTTACAACATGCGAATTTGAACCATATTATTATTAGTTTATTGTAAGATTTAGTCTACTTCTTTCATCTCCTTAATATAACTAATATCGTATGTACAAAAAAAAAGTCTGCAAAACAACTTTAAGCAACTTTAAAGTTACCAATTGTTCACCATCGGTCCTTTTAATTAATCTGTAAATTGTCTTTTTTATTTTTTTAATTATATTTTGCAATCACACCGATCTAGTTGGTACTCAATTTTAAGAGGGCAACATACATGGAATGGATTCACCACCATGTGAAGTTCCGACCCAATCATACATTGCCAAGTGAAGAAAAACTTGCATATGACAATATTATTGGACATGGATGCAATGTGGTGGTGATCCTGTTTCATATAAATTCTTTTCTTTTTTCAAGAGGATCTCGTGAGCTAAGCTCTTACATAGATGTCATAATGATATCATCCACATAGGTCATTTTTATTCAAAAATATTACTCTTACTACATTTTTCATATCACTTTAATGTCATCTTTCTAATAGATATGAAACTCACATATGTTGGTGAGCCGTACTTTTATTAGAGAGATTGTACAAATGTGATATGACAAATGTGGTAAGTGTAGCGTTAGTCTTTTTCATTTGGGGTGTTATCCATACACCATTTTTAATTTCTGTCATTTGATCTTCTTCAATCCATCTGATCTGACAGTTGAAAATTAGAAATGTGTGTGAGAAATAAAAAAGAGTGTGTGGATATCACACCCTTTAAAGAAATATCTAATTTGGCCCTTATAATGCTAGGGAGATCAAATTTCTAAACCAAGTTTTGTAAAACAAATAATATGGATGTTGATAATTGAATTATTGCTTAAATGTTGATTAACGTGCTTATTTCTTATTTGTGACACATCATTTGAATTACAAATTTGGACTCCCTAACATTATTCTTCAATCAACTCATGCTTACCTGCAACATATCTCCTGCGAAGACTATGAAGTGGCAAGGTGAGGCGTCAATACCCACAAAGGTTCCATCGTTGGATTCGATTTCTAAACCGCCAATTTGGTGCTGGAAAAGTATTGATATGAAGCTTGCGTCGGTGTGGCTTGGAAACCATACACTAGTACCAGTGATGTCCATGTCTTTCATTTCTCTATACTTGATTAATCGAAAAATGTGGTCATTGAAAGCAGCAAAGGACTCATAGTGCTTCGCTGCAACACCATAGCTTTCGAACAACAATCGCATCACCCGTTCACCCAACTCTTCTATCAACTTCACATAACTGTGAGTAGTTTCACTGCACATGTACAAGCATATATTACACACATTTATTATTAAAAAAAAGTAATTAAACGGAAGATAGAAGTCAAACAAATTCAAAACCATATTATGTACATATACACGAACGAACCAAAAAAATTATATATATATATACATGTTCCACGCGAATGTCTGTATAATATGTGATAAGAAATTAACACGAACGATAATATATTAATTTGATTAATATTACCAGAAGTTATCTTTGCCAGCAGGCCACACGAGGTTCATGAAATTCTGCACATCTTGGAAGCTTGTAGCATGACTAATCGCGAAGGTCTCGGAGTAAGGAAGCCTAGGACTTGGTCCAATATATCCACGGAGTACGTCGTCGCAAGTGTGGCTGAGTTTGGTTTCTGTGGGCAGATCAAACAGATCCTTCGACTGGGCCATCACCTTGTCAACAAGTTGAGCCGGAACTCTGTCATACGCCGCCACGAAACAACCGTACTCTTCAAGTGCATGTCTTACTTGGTCGGGCGTGGTGCCACTGCCACTATATGTGAAATCAATGATAGGAATTTTTAGCGACACTGTTTCGGAATCCGATCCCATACTTGAGTTCCTCGACTGATCGTCACTAACGTGGTGTGTGCGAATGTGAGTGAGTTTAACTGTTTAAGTGAGTCGAATGAGGATGCATGGAGTTGAGATATATATGGATATAGATGGGCAGCGGTATTAGGTATATGAAATTATTAAATAATTAGTTTTATGCTCATCATGATTCACGACACACGATATTTTCTATTACATGTGTGAATCATGTGATATGGCTTTCGGATGTTGGGGAGCGGCGATATGATTTTATTCTTTTATTTTGTTTCTATTTAATAATTTCGAAATTTTGTCTTAGAATTTGGGTTGATTTCTCTCTTTAGGAGAGTTCTCTAGTTTGATTACTCCCAATCAAAATGCCAAAAAAAAAAAAAAAAAAAAGTCACTTGCTATTATCATCCAAAACCTACAATTAGCTGTTGGCTTGTTGCTTTCTCCCGCGCATTAAAATAAAAAGTTTGGAGCAGGATTGTAGGACTTCATGCACGTTACAAGGACCGTAATCATAAACAATCTATCTTCGTTTTTTTTTTTTGTTTTTTATAAAAGGGGTTCGCCATGACAATTTACGGTCATCTCCAACCGAAAGCTGGTCAGAGGGTTCGTTTTAACCCTCCAGTTCTTCAATATATTAATATTTTAATGAACAATATATGGCTATATTTGCCTTCATCTCCAACCGAAGGCCAAAGGGATATATGGCTCATTTTAGCTCTGTCACAAAAAACTGTCTCCAACCGAGGGCCAAACATAATTTATTATTTAGATTTAAAAACTACAACAACTTAAAATTTAAAAACAACAACTTAAATTTTAAAACTACAACTTATATTTAAAAATTACAACTTATATTTAAAAACTACAAATTAAATTCATTAAAAAAAAATTTGGCCCAAAAAAAAAAATTGAATCCAACGGTAACTAGCCGTTGTATTTGAAATTTTGTCCTACCATTCCTGTCGGATATAACTGACATGAATAATGAAAATTCGGGCCCAGCCTGGGGCTGACTGGCTGGTTGCTTTGGGCCAGCTAGTTGGCCCTTTGGCCCTTTTTTGTCCAGTGGGGCCAACAAGCCCTTTGGCCTAGCTCTCGGTTAAAGACGGTTTTCAAACTATTTTCGGTTCTTTGGCCCTCTGGACCCTTCGGTTGGAGACGGTATTACGTATATGAAATTATTAAATAATTAATTTTATGCTCATCATGATTCGCCACACGATAATTTCTATTACATGCGTGAATCATGTGATATGGCTTTCGGATATCCAAAGGATGTGGAGCGGCGACATGATTTTATTGTTTTGTTTTGTTTTTATTTAATAATTTTCAAAAATTGTCTTAAAATTTGGTTTGATTTATCTAATATTTAAAATAAATATTTAAATTGAATTTTATTTAAAATAATTTGAATTTTAAATCAAAATTAAAATTCAATTTTTTTATTTATCGAAATTTTCTTTTGTTTTGATTTATCGAAATTTCAATTTTTCGATAAATCAAATTTCAATTTATTTATCATGGTAAAATAATTTTCTTTTGTTTTGATTTATCGAAATTTTTTAAATCAAAATTCAATTTATTCATCAAAATGCCAACAAAAAATAAATAAAAATTTGTCACTCGCTAGTATCATCCAAAACCTACAATTAGCTGTTGGCTTGTTGCTTTCTCCCGAGCATTAAAATAAGAAGTTTGGAGCAGGAATGTAGGACTCCATGCACGTTACAAGGATCGTAATCATAAACAATTTATCTTCTCTTTTTTATTTTTTATAAAAGGGGTTTGCCAGGATAATTTATCCTTTCAAGAGCTAGGAAGATTCACAACTGCATTTTAGCCTTGCTCTGGCTACCATCATACAATTCACGAGCAGCAATAATCGAACCTATAACATGCAGTGTGAAATATGAGCCTAGAATTAAAAGGGAAGACGAGTTGAAGAGAGAATTTATTTTGGCCACGTGATCTATTATAGACGGTCAAAATTAAGTGATCTGGAAGATCCAAGAAAAGTTGGCTTTCAAATCTTATATATCCAACTTGTGAAAAATAGTTTAATTTTTCCTGAAAACTATTTATATCAAAATTATTTTAACATCCGTTTTTTCGTTTTTTTTTCTACACAATCAAATAACATAAATTAACAGGGTGCTAAAAAAAATGTGTTTATAAATATTTTTTTTCTTCACCATTAGAACATTTATAACACTTGGGAATAAAGCTTAAAAATTTAAGTCATAACCCATAAACTGTTTTTCTTCTCCAATAGTTATGACTTCAAATTTTAGCCTGAGATTATTAAATGATGATTTTAGTCTTTTTTTTTAAAATAAAATTTATATAGATTATCCTAATTTATCTTTATGAACATTTTAATATAAAAATATTTAAATTTTGATAAATAAAGTGAATTTTGATTTAAAAAAAAATTATTTTAGACATTATATTTGATTTTGGGCTGTCAAATTTTTTTAACCGTTAAATTTGATCTGATTTGATCACATCTGTTGGATTATAAGTAAAAACAAAAGCAAAGTTTGAAATATGACAATTTGGTGGGTCCAGAATAATTTAAGCTAGACTTAATTTCTGAGGGAATCTAACCCAAAGATATATTTTCTCTTCAAACCTTATTTTAGTCCAATAGTTGGAGATGGTTTGGGAAGGGGATTTAACGCTTATGTTTTAAGTTTTATCCTAAGAGGTGATCTAATGTTATATGTTCACCCAATGGGCCAATTATTCCATACCCACAACAAGCCCATATTCTATAAGCCCAATAATTTACAGAGAAAAATCTGAGATAATACACAGGGAGCGCGAGAGCTAGAGAGAGAGAGAGAGATGGGGAGAGAGGTCTCAGAGAGCTGCGTGGATAGTCTACTGACAGAGATGGTCTCTATGTACTGCAATCGGTTATACGCCAACAAGCCCGAGCTCGCCGCCAGTAGGATCGACGCTATTGGCTACCAGGTCGGCCACCAGCTCTCCGAGCGGTACACTTCCCCGCACTATTCCTAACCACCCTGCCCTCTCTAGTTCTTCCCTTTATTTCATTGTAATTGAATTGGATTTGTTTGATCTCACAGGTTTTGGGTTTTTAGATCTGAAATGCCTATTTTCGAAATTTGTTCTCTTTTTTCCGTTTGTAATGATTTGGTAGAGTGTTTGGTTGCTGAGAAAATGTGGAATAGTAATTCGAAGTGTTTGATTTCGAATTTTTTTTTCTTTTTTCGTTTGTAATGATTTGTTAGAGTGTTTGGTTGCTGAGAAAATGTGGGGAAGTAAAGCATATGTGTGTGGCATTGAATGCTATGCTATTCTAGGTCTACTTATAATTTAAAGTTAACAAAATAATGCTCATTGTAAATTGTAGGAATAGGAGTGTGATTATGGATAAATTTCACTTGTTAGGTACACGATGGAGCGGCCTCGGTTTACTGATCATCTGGATGCAATTAAGTTCATCTGCAAGGACTTTTGGTCCGAGCTCTTCAAGAAGCAGATTGACAACTTAAAGACCAATCATAGGGTAATTTGTTTGGAATCGAGTCAATTGACTAATACTGAATTGGGGTTCTTTGTCAATGTGTGAATTTGATAAGACTTAAGATGGGTTTTGTTTGTGTTGTAGGGTACTTTTGTATTGCAAGATAATCGGTTTCGTTGGGTTTCACGCATGTCGCTCGATCCTTCCGAAAATGGAGACTTGTCTAAAGAAAATGCCGAGGCGGTTGAAAACAAGGCAGCAGAAGAACCAAACATGCATCTCCATTTCTCATGTGGAGTCATAAAGGGTGCTCTTCATAACTTGGGGATTGCTTGTGCTGTTTCTGCCGACACGTCCCACCTTCCTGCGTGTAAGTAGTTCTCTGTTTAGTGCTTTAGAATTATGAGTACATTTTCTTTGCCATCACTGTATATGACATTGTTTTTAACAAATATAAGCTCCTTAACATGTAAAGTTAGAAAATTTGATACACCTGCGATAATTCATTGTTTTTGGAGTAAATCATTATATAGAATCTATACCCTCCACAATCCACTTATACGTTAAGCATCACTTTGCAGTGTTATCTGCCTATATCCTCTTCGTAATCTTACCAAAAGTGAGTTACGATATTTTGGGCTACTGAATAACTGTCCGTCTGTATCCCACTAGTCATGAGATGATTCTCACCTATGCTTGTGCCTTAATGTTTTTCAGCATGTTTGAGGTCGTTCAAGTTTAGTTAGAGCAGTATATTACGTTGAAGTGTAGTAATCAGTAAGAGGACAATTCTTGGGACTTTTTGTTGTCCAGCCATGCTTAGAATTCCATATTTCCTGGATAAATGTGACAAAGTCAATCATAATCTGCCCGGATAGCATCACCTTCGAACCCTGTATTTTCTTCTCGTGGGCTCATGTATCTGTTTCCTAGAATGAATACTTGGTGGATCATGGGTTTCACTTTGACTACCTATCACTTGGAATATAAATGCCGTCAGTTTATCCAATTGCTCGTCATGAGAACTTGTTTTATCCTATATAGCATCAAAAGCCTCAACCTCTTTGTGATTCAAATTTTTTATAAATTAAACGGCAAGGGGTGAAGCATTTTACTTTGTTGTGCTTGCAGCTTGCTCCTTCATTGCAATTTGACACCGATAAGAATCTGTTTATTACCTTACATGCGTATCTGTGTTTATTTTCTTACATGGGTATCTGTCTCAGTATTATTTGATGCACTGAAATACTGAATCTGACATGATCTCACAACATTCTTGACAAATATTCCATTCATCCTCGTTATCTCGTTTACATACAGTTGCCATCATTCATAAATGAACTGTAGTTGGTAAGTTTGCTTGAGATCGAAAAGATTATCTCTGCTTGGTTTGCCGGCATCCTTGTTGCAGTATCGATTGATTCTTTTTGCTGAAATTGTTGAACAGGTTCATTTGTGGTTCGTATAAAGCCCTGATGAACGCTTCTCCAAGGAACTTTCAGAAAAAAGTTGGGGTTTACTTCATCGGCCTATTGAGATTTGTAGTCTTTCTCCTTCTCCGTGTACAAGAATTTTTACTTCGATTTCAGAATTTAGTTTTAACCTTCAAACTGAGAAGATTCATCTCGGAGAAATCACAAGATTGTACTTACCAGTGTTTGAGAAACATGAATTGTATTTATCCTGAACTACTAATATAGGACTTTGAGCCCACAATATTTTCTTGTACCTTGTTACTAAATCACCCGATCTATCAACCTTGACACCTATTTTTATCGTTAAACTACTTGACAATACGAAAATTTATTGTTCAACTATTTGACACCAACAAACTAAACCATCATTCTTTGAAGATCAATTGACATTGAACGGGTTTAATGACTCGTGGTGCAAGGTATCAAAAGGTGCTAGTCAAGCAGTGTGTTGAAAACATTAACAGTTGAAAACATTAGCAGTTGAAAACGTTGGCAATGTTGAAACTGTTGGCAGTTTAATGAATGCTAGCATAAGTTTTTCAATACCCACACAAAGCGATGTAGACTTTGGAAATAAAGGTGATCATATTTTCAAAAGTCATGTGATGTAAATTTCAAACTGTAAGAACTTGTTTGAATGGAGCCGTTCTATAAATAGAGCACTCTGACTGCAGTTAAAGGATATAGAAAGAATACAGAGAAAGAAAAGATTAATAACTTCAGTATCTTTTCCTCCCTCTTTTATTTGTCATCCTTTTGTGCTATAGTTTCAGTGTGATATTTTACACCTGCTTAACTTCTGTCACTAGTAAAGGTTATCTCTTTAACTTTTACATATTTATAACATAGTGAAATTTTTATTTATTTTTAAGTAAATTTATTATATAACGTATAAATAAGTGTGTTTATACTTAAAAAAGATTATAATGATTTAGAAAATCAGAAAAAAAAACAAAATAAAAATTAAAAATACATAAAATAAAAATTTTCATAAAAAAAGTTAGAATATGATTGGGTTAGGAGAAAAGGAAAATTTAAAGGAATTTAAAAGTGAGAAGAGCCACTTAGTACAATGAGATTCTCGATCGGTTTGATCGAATTACTTAAAGCCTTTCTCATTATGTTGAATCTTTTATTACGCCTTAAGCAACCGAAA